AGGCGTTTGCCTGACAGTTTTGCCGATAAAAAGCGTCAAAAACGTTGTTCAATAAATGTTTACAAAGTTTCGCTTTGTTTGGGCTACCGAATAGTTCAGCGAACTCTGTAATAAATTGTTTATAGCAGCTTTCTTGAAAGGGCTAAAATAAACTACCTTTGCCTTAATATGGAGATTAAAAGAAATTTTGGAACAAAAATATAACAAATCCATTGAAGCGTTAATTTCATGTTGTGAATATGGAGGTAGTTAATTTATTTGTCTATTGGAGGATGCGCAGCCAATTTAGGAATAATATTAATCATTTGACTTTTTTCTCATAAACGTCTTAATAAATTTAGGTTTAAGCCAGACTTCATTCTAAGATTTTTTATTAAGCAAAATTTAATTATGATGTAACATTATCAGTGGGAAAAAATAGTAATATCCGCTAGTTAATTATCGCTATTTACGAAATATATAGAGTGGAAATTCTTGAAGAGGAAATATTGCATAAACAAACGGTAGATATCTGGTGGTTTATATATATATCAAATGTATAACAAAAAGGGTAACTGCATGTTTATATCAGTAGTTAATCGTCAACTTAAACCGATACAAATAAAAAAATGTACTTGCAATTTACACTTCAATAACGACATGAAAATCATTAATCCTCGGCACTTAGTTGAGAAAAGCAATCATTAGAGGCAGCTGATAGTCCATCGCAGCGAGCTAGTTACTCGAAGCCTAAGAAAATGTTGAAAAATGTGGTCTGCGAATAAAAATATTCCTTGCTGATATTTATAAAATAAATTAGATTTTCACAACCCCAATAACAATACTGTGCAACAGCAATAACAACAAACGCATTGCAAGTATGTAGAAATAATAATAACAACAATTGCTGCTCCACATTTGTAATTAATATTTCTGTTTGTTAAAGTCGCACTGGACAAATAGTGAAATAAATCAATTTGCAACAATAATAATAATAATAATAATAATATAGGAGTATAATATTTTTCACAGCTATGCCCCACATACTCGTATATACATATTAATTTATATGTCAGTAAATAACCTCCCATGAATAAATAAGTTCAAGGCCATTCTTGGGAGAACGTTTGCTGACCACAAGCAAAACAATTGAAATGACAAAAATAAGAAACATATTTATATGTATTCAGAAGAGATGAATAATGATGGAAAAAAGAAAAAGTACTAAATCTCTCTAAAGACTGAATATCTGTTTGTAGGGTGACAAAGATTGAGTGCTGACCACCAAAGGTGTAATTAGAGCACAAGAAATAGCACAACGAATGGGCGTAAAAATAAAGCGAACGGGCACTAAAATGAAAATACACGCGGAGGCACAAGTAGATATGACAAGAAGGTGTCTGTAAGGATATGAAAATGAATTACTAATTGGTGCTGATGGTGGCAAGGTTTCACCGGTATTAAGGGGTTGCCAAGGTGATAATAGTGTGTTAATGATGATAAATGCAACTGAAAAGAAGAGAATAAAAGTCTATGCACTGCTCGATTGATATAGTCAGAGTCAGTGCTCATAATATTACTGATATTCAAAATTTAATTCAATTTCATGGTTTTAACTGAAATTTTCCCTCTTAGAACTGAGTCTTGAGGGCATATTTTGCACATTTTTTGCAATACCCAGAACTCTGTGTTGCAAGGCAATTTCTTCGAAGCAAAGTCAAACTTAAAATTACATTAAACGATTCTTTATAAGGAGATTAAATCTTGATCAGATTATCAATTAGTCACCAATAATTTTATGCAATGAATAAGCAAATAAAATAAATTAGCGGTGAAAGTTACTTTGTTTACTTGTTTACATGTATATATATGTATGAATTTCTTTCTTTATATTTCACTTTCCATTTGACTCTCAAATTCAATCAGCGCACCTTGAAATCATTTTTTTTTATTCTCATTCTTATTTCGTTTCTTATTTGCTTAAATTTTTGCACATACATACATACATTCACCATTTCGATGACGTTCTTCAAATTTTGTTCCTCCAACTTTCTTCTTATATTTATGTGGTCATCGATGATCAGTGACCGATTTCAGCTGCTCTTAGAAGCCTTTGATATTGACTTTTTGTTTTATAATTTGCCATTTTACGGATAAAAAAAATCTGTTCTTCGTTATATTTTGAATGGTTTGAACAATTACTTGAAGTGGGTGCTTACTCAAATTTCTACTTCGAAGATGTTTGTATGCCTGTCGCACATATAAAAGATATGAATGAGTTCGGATTTCTTGCCAAAACTTTCGAAAAATTATTTCAATAAATTTTTTGTTGTTGTTTTTGTCTGAATAAATTAAGTTCGCTAGGAAATATTTTTTCAATTTAAATTGCATTAAAAATTTAATTTTTGTTTAGCAACACGTGCAGCATAACATGACTAGAAGCATATTATGTAATTTAAAGAGACAAACTGGTTAACAAAATTATTATTTAAATATGTCTTTGTATATTTGTAACAGTTTTATGACGGTAAATTATATAACCCACGACAGTAACATAAATATGTCAAAAATGAGTATATCTAAGGAGAGGGCAATTGACCTTACTCATGGAAAAAAAAGCTTCCAAATGTGCATGTACCGTCATAAGCTCTCATGCTGGCGCCACCATTCGTTTATTGCACAAAATGTCCGACAGTTGAATGTTCTATGGACATATACACTTGTGCTGTCGCAAAAGGAGTAGGAGAGGAAATATAAAAAACTTTGCGAGTGAAGCAGATAACAAGATAAAGAATATTGCAAAAACAACACTGTTCTTTAGGGCGACACCTTGGAAAATTATGGGTAAATTTAAAGCGAAAAAGCGGCTTACTCTTAGAGACGACAGTGTGAGGCGACAACTCACAAGTTGTTTGGGGTCACTTGGCAAGCAAATAAATTCTGCAGCTGAGAAATTAAGTAATAATTTGCAAAAATGCGAGCGCAGGAATGATGAATGAAATGTAGAAGTAGAAGAGAAAGCAAAGCAAATGTTATTGGACTTTAGTCAAGCGTTCAGTAGCCAACTTAGAGCGCTTAAATTATATACACATTTTTTTCGTTGTCTACCAAGCCTTGCTGGATAACTGTTAAACGATATTTAATTGCTTTATTATTTGCAGCGTTTTTTTTTTTTTTGGGAAATGGCAAAGAAATAAAAAAAAGTAATAGTAACAACAACATTGTGAATTACATAAATGCAGTATTTACATATATATATATATATATATATATGTAGATTATATTCACGCATGGTGGCATATGAAATTATTAGCATATACATACTCCCATGTTTATATGTTACTACAAATGTTCTTTTTGGCGTCGATGACCTCTCGGATGGCAAGCTGGTCGTATTATCTCTCGGTATAGTAGCGAGCATGTATATGTGTATGCAAATACTAAAGCTAATCCTCCACTTGTTGAACACATAATGTCACTAAAGTTCATTTGTAAGACATTCAACTTTAATTCATTATAGTTGTTGTTGTTTCTTCTTAAGCCCAACTTTTATTTTTCCAAGTTTCATTCATTCTCTTGCCATTTTGCTATTACTTTTATTTGTCTTTCACAATTTAATTCTTTGCGGCCAACTTTAGTTTTGGACGCAAAAAGAAAAAGAAATGCTTTTCTTAAGTTTATTTTATTAGAAAATAAATAAAAATAAAAATAACTTCCATGTAACGTGTTATATCATTTAAGTTCACATGCACGAAGCCCGGTCGAAAAGCAAAGAAGAAAAAGATCAACAAAAGTGCCATTTACTTTAACACTTCGATGAACGCGATTTTAGCAATTTAAAGCATTTTAATTGATTGGTAATATAATAGTCACCACTAAAAACCCGACTTTCCGATTCTGTTTCTAACTTTTACGGTTTAAATATTTTCATAAATGGTATTGAAATTGTTTATATATACTGCCAGCAAAAGTCGCTTTCTTCTTCATGTACAAGAGCTTAATTGCGTCTTAGCACTTTTTGCTTTTACTTTCAAAAAATACGCAAAACGATCATATTTCATTAGAAAACGATTTACTTTGTGCTTTCAAGACACTTTCCTGGTGCGTAAAGCAAGTTTCTAGTCGTAAAGAACTCACTTTCTCAGACATGAAGTGATGATTTGCTCACAAAAAGCCAAAAAAAAAATACTGAAAATGTTAATTTAGTCATTTCTTACTTTTTCGGATATTATATTTTAATTGCGCACATCATTGTTGACTTCACATAAACATTCAACTATAAATTCAACATGTTAATAGCATACAGTGGCAGACAACGTTTGTAAAAAAGCATTAAGACAAATCTGCTTTACCCAGACTCAAAAAGTCAAATAGAACAAAAAAAACATAATTTAATTTGGAAAAAACAGTCCCATAAAATTTTAATATATGTACTCTATTTATTTTAATTTATTTCCTTTAATTAACTTTATTTTTAGTTTTTTCAATTCGTTTTAATTTATTTTTTTTTTATTTATTTTATTTTATTTTATTCTATTTTATTTTATTTTATTTTAGTTTATTTTATTTTATTTTATTTTATTTTATTGTTTTTAATTTAATTTATATTTGCGATAAAAATATTATTTTAGCTAATTTTTTCCTTTAAAAAAAAAACAAACTTTCTACGGGCCACCTTTATACAAATTTGTATACTCACACATGAATAAAATATGTGGAAAAGGAGCCGCCAAGGACAATCACAATAAGAGTTTAAATAATAAAAATAAACAATAATCATAAAAAATAAATAAACAGCAGCAACAAACACAAACTGTTTTATGTTTGTATCCATAACCATGCACATACTGACAAATATTACTCGTTATTTGCATTGCGTATGAAGGATAGCTTTGGATGGCTGGGAAACCGGGCAATATTGCCTCGAGTGTTAAGCCAACAACGGCAGAGTGCAGTTGTTAAAGTGGAAAAGTGAAAGAGTTTATAAGTGCCGCAGTGTCGTTGGTTGACAGACTATAAACATGGCTCCGAGGCTGCTGGAGGCAAGTAGGCTTATCACTTTGCTTACTCTCTCTCTCTCTCTCTCTCTCTTACTCTCTCCCACGCAATAAAAGCAAAAAAAAACTTTTAAAGCCAAAATGTGGCGACATATGAGCGTACTTCAATATTTTTATGCGTTATTTGAGTTGTGCACGAGACAGTGCCAATTCGAGTTAAGTGAAGAAAGTGAGGCCGAACAGGGGACGGCGCACATATGTGCGATTTCCGTAGTCTCTGTGGCTCAAAGCATTCACTGCATTGGCACAAAGCGAACTGTCAGCATGCCAGAGTGTTGACAAAACAGTCTTCGTTATAAGGGATTGCACATAGGGAGAAAAAGTAAGAGATAGAGGCCAAGTAGGCACGACAGTTGATCTCTGTATGGTTTAGCAAATATTGACAGCTGACGCACTCCGCATGGTACTCAGTGGTATAAACATAAGCATGAGAGATTTCACTTTTGCTATGCTCTTAAATATCAAAGCTCAGAAATTTAAAAATGAATGAGTGGACAGACGGAACTTACTTGAACTTTAATTTTAATTTAAGATTTTGACACTTATTTTTTATTAAGTATAAGGTCTCTTAGGCAAGGAATTAGAAAGTTATCTTCATCATCCATACCCAAACGAAATATACTAAAGTAGAAATCAGCAAAATATATTGCATCTAACATAAATTACTGCTTCTACCTCTGGCTAATCTAAATAACAGTACATTACAAACATTAGACTTTCAAGAAAATTTTATTCAATCGAATTTATGTTTTACCCAGACAGCCGTACTCGAGGTGGTGATACCACCAGATATCATCAACGAGGAAACATCCGGTGACATGATGGTTCCAGAAGGCGGTTCAGCGAAGCTGGTGTGTCGTGCGCGTGGACATCCAAAGCCAAAAATCACTTGGCGGCGCGAAGATGGGCGTGAGATTATTGCGCGTAATGGCGCTCATCAGAAGACCAAAGGTATGAAAATTAGATCCAAATACCATATAAATATATATATATGTATTTCGTTTATAAAAATAATTTCAGTACGTTTAAAACATTTACATATGATTTTTCATACATTCTTTAAGCTCTGGCCGTTGAGGGTGAAATGCTTGCGCTGACTAAGGTAACACGCAGCGAAATGGGCGCCTATATGTGCATCGCCTCGAATGGTGTGCCGCCATCGGTGAGCAAACGTATGAAGCTGCAGGTGCATTGTAAGTTTAAGTTGAATTAAATTTTTTTGTTGAAAATTTAACAAAAATTATTTTTAAATAGTTTATGGCATTTAAGGATAAAATAAAAATTTTAAAAAGATAACGTTAAATAACTAACGTCATCGATGGGGCAGAATCTCTTTAACAGAGCTCACATATACTTCCATTGAAAAACGCAAAATCTCCACACTGATCACTTTTTTTTAAAGTTTGTATAATTTTTTTTTTTCTCATACAATTGGTAAATAAATTTCAGGAAACTAAAGGAAAAGTAAGGTTAAGCTGAACTCGTTGACTCTAGAAGGTCTCAGAGAGATGATGTTGTGTCCGTGGTGTTATCAAATATATATAAAGTATAAAAAAAGTTGAAAAAACACCGTGACTTAATATCTAGCTTCTTACAATTTTTTATTAATTATAATTTGATTAATTAATTTCAAACAATTTTGTAAAATACGTAAAAAAAGAGCTTTCCGCTTTAAACAAACTGGTGCTCTTTAGTTAGGGCAAAAAAAAAAGAGCCATTGGATTGATTTGATAGACAAACATAGATAGGCAACACTAATCTTATTAACTCAAACTTGTGCGTGTTTGAAAGCCGAATGTTTTAAGAGAATGTCAGATCTAGTGGAGGCTTTCTCGATTTCATTCGGAAAATGTTCATGACAGTTCCACCTCGTTCTGGTCAGTTTGTGACACAAAAAGCCAATGAAATTCGGCAGCTGATAAAGCATGTTCGACAAACTAGCTGCCATGAGAGTGAAGGTGTTAAACCTTACCTACGCAACAGTTGGAAATCATTAAAAAAAAACCTATTCAATAATGTTAAAAGCTTGGATGCCACAGAAATTAATGCAAAAAAAACCGCACTATCGTCATGTAAAGGTAGCAAAGTCAAAAGATTTCTGAATGCACAGTCACAGACAAAGGAAAACTTGGAATAAATTCGAGAATAGAAATCGAAAAAAAAATTATATTCAAAAACCAGTGGCCCTGCATAAAAGACCTCCATGTCTGAATCGACGACAAACAGAGAATTTCTGGGTGCGTGATGGTCAACAAATTCCAAACTTACAAGCTCTTTTTAAAGCTTATTCAATAGAAAAGGTGTTGCGTTCAACCATGGCAACACCACACAACTTACATTTTTAATGACGGAGCTCGGTTGAGTAAATTTTGATGCACCCACAATATAGTCCACTTTTTGCACTATCGGACCATTTGCCTCGGTTACTGCAAAACTTTCTGCATGGTAAAAAAATGGCCGACCCAAGAACGACTAAAAATCACTTGAACAAACTCTTCAGCTACAGAAGTCCGGCACTAAAGAAATTATGGCAAAAAAATTTTAAATATTCATAGCTAATAATTCAAATTTATTTTCAATAAAGAAACATTTTGTTATAAGTTTTTAGCGAGATAAAAACTTGGTTTGTGCCTGGTAGAAATGACAGAAATGTCGGCGATCACCATCGGATCCGGACTTAACAGACGAGTGCTCTATCACTGCGCCAACATCAGCCATGTAATCTAATATTTTTTTGTTTGAAAATATACAAAAACAAACCAGTAAATACCTTTTTTAATATGGCAGCAGTAGTGGAGTGCTTCGATCCTGACCAATATTGAAAATTGTGAAAAATTAATTTTTATTTAAAACTAAGTTAATTTGAAGAGCTAGTTTCTACCCTCAGCTGAGAGTGTCAACCCATCTGAATGTATTTCTGATCTTTAATAAAGACCCCTCATAAAAATTCACATTATCGGCCATTGAGAGGGAGTTTCACATAAGCTGTAGATTCCTCCATTGTAAATATGTATAACATTGATAGTCTCCGAGTGGCTTTTAAAAGGTAGAAACCAAAACATACTGTAGAGCTCTTGCTGTAAAAATACCAGTGGTCTCTCTAGAGAGCCTAAATGAAAGAATAAGTCTGCCGGTGGGGTCGTAAGGGCTTTAATTGCCAAAATGACAACTTTTAATGTCAAAATCTTGACTATTGACAACATACCATTTTTGAAAGTTTATAGATATTGAAATCATTTTAACCAGCACATACATGTGTATGTTTGTTAGTAAGTATGTATATTTATATGTAAGAGTTTGCTTTGTCAATAATAAATAATCAACAGATGTTGCCATTATAATATCTGCCTAAAATCATCTGTAGACAAACTTCAACCAAAGCACACACATCCAGCAAGCACCACTTAGAAATACACACACACATACGTGTATGCATATCGACATTTACACGTATATCTGCAAAGGGTGGTATCATTAAATATACACAAAAAAGTCAATTTTTAAAGCAAACACATTGATCCAAGTGTAGACAACATACACACACAACCACATGTATATTTGTAAGCATTTTAGTACATCAATACATCGATACATCGTACATATGTACATGTATTCCCAGCAACTGCTGCTGTCCGGCAATAATCTCGGCCAACATTTTGATACCATTTGTGTGCCAACTAAGGAGAGAGCAACAACAAAACTGATATTGATACTAATGTACATATGTATATGTATTTAAAAGCATCAAAGCATGCTCTTACATATGTATATAAATATATGTACATACGAGTATGTATTTGCCATCATCCGGACAGTCAACTGAACGAAAAGTCAATAAGTCAAATTGCCAACAATAGCAACAAAAGTGGTTAAGGCAACAAAGCAAAAATAAAACAGCAACAACAATAGCAACAACAAACAACAGGCGGCCAACAATGATCAGTGGCTACGGTTGACCGAGGACCACAGTGCAGTGGCAGCAGCAACAAGCTAATAACACACACACACACACATACATAGGAACTTTCGCATATGATTGTATGAATATGTGTTATTGTGCATGTGTGTATGAATGTCAGTAGATGCGCAAAGATAGACATTATTTGTCTACATCGTTTACTGCTGCACACACACCCACACCAGCATATGCATTAGTCTATATAGCATATCGGTTTGTTTGTATATCTATATATGTGTGAATTCGTGTAAACAAACTTGAACACTTGATCAGCCTGATTGGCCATATGTTGTCTGTTGTGAAGAATTCGTTTGTTGTTTATCGTGGTGTTGGTCAGGCTGTTGAAAAACTTTGCTCCAGAAAAAAAAAATGGGGAGAAAAACCGCAGGAACAGAAATTGAGGCAACTAATGCTGGTGTTGGTGGCAACAAAATTTGTGTTGTATTGTCTTTGGCTTTTATTATTATTTCCTCTTTGGTTGCATTCGATTTATTTATACTTCAGCCACAATGGTGGTCTAGTCTTTTTGGCCAAATGTATGTCATACTCGTATATAAATAATTTAACTGTAGAAAATTGGAGGAAGAAAAACATAATAAGTAGATCCGGGATCACCCACAAATAGAGACACCCCGAATGGCTGATGTATTTTTTTTAAATATTAGAGCCTCTTCTTTTCGATATTCGAAACTATTACATTTAAAATAGTACCACGCACTCCTAACTATACGGCTGCAGTGGGGAGCCTCTCACAGCCTGAGGTGTGTATGCACCAGTGTACCCACATCTGTGTGGGACGTCCTAGCGCTCACCATGTACATACATATTTATTTAAAAGCTCAAGGGCAATGCAAAATTAATCTCATCCTCCACCTTTCAACTGAGAGTTCGCTCTCAAAAGCTCACAAAAATACTTTAAGTTTGTAATAATAAGAACTAATGGTTCCAAAACTATGTGACAAAACCTACCTCGACTAACGATCCGCCGTTTTGGTCTAAGGTATGTTGACATGCGATCTCTTTTGGTCTAATTATGTTAAAGGATCAATCATATTTAATAAGAAACCCCCTAGACACCATTTGGAGACCCAACAAGCTTATCTACACTATGCTGAAGCCTTGAAAACATAGGCAAAGGGACGTTTTAATCCAAGTCGCTGAAATTCAATTAAAATATGTAAACTTTATCGAATGAACGTAATGATATTATGAACTTAATGGGAAGAATAAGAACCTTTGAATTCTAACTTCCTTATGGGATTTTTTCAAGAGGGATAAACCTATATAAATAAAGCATTCAAAGTTATATACTGTCTAACCAGTAGGCTACTGGATTTTAATTTGGAAGCCTATCTGATGTTAAACCTCTCCCACATTTTCACAAGAAAACACACAGAACCATAACATCGCCCACACTTTTTCATCAGTAGTGCAATTCTGCAACTTTTATCGATTTATTTATCGATTTATCGGATCGCAAAGTACCGCTCGCGCAAACGATTATGCGATTCTCTAACTCAGTTTTTACGATAATCGACAACGGACATTATATAATATATATTATATATTATATATTATATATTATATATTATATATTATATATTATATATTATATATTATATATTATATATTATATATTATATATTATATTATATATATTATATATTATATATATATATTCTATTTATCCGATAGTGATCGGATCTTTTTTTTTTTTGAGTAATCACTGCAGCAAATTCGGCAAAAAGCTGTTTCGAGAAAAACACGTTTAAAGATAAAATGATCGTTTTCACTCGTAGCTAATGAGACTCTCTAACGGCTGCTCTTTAAATTGTTATAACTCAAAAACTATTTGAGATATGGACTTGAAATTTTAAGATGTTACTTTTAAAGGTGTAATATATCGAAATATGAAAAAAGATCGAATTTGTGAAATTTCACACTAGGTGTGCCTCTTAACATGAAGGAAAGGTGGCCCCACAGCTTAACAAAACGTCAAAATATACGAAAAACGCAAAAAAGAATGACAAAAACAAATAAATTTGTTGTAGAAATTATTTTTATTAAATGAATAGCAATGCATTACTAAGTTTTTCAATCAAAAACATGTTAAAGTTAGCACTTTCATGCTCTATAGAGCAGCTCCAAATGATATAATTGTGGCATTTGCCGCTATAATCTTGCGACAAGGATCACATATATATGTCAAAATGTAGTTAACTTTGTTGCTTCAATAGTAATTGAAAAAAATTCAGTCTCCTCATTTACTCGTTGGCAGAATAGTATTAATGACGGCTGAGAGAAGTCCATCGCAATCGATAGCCCTAATAGTTCTTCCAGCAAGTGGCGACGTGATAGGAAATCTAACCTTCGCAGGAAACATTGAACGGTTGACTGCTTCTGTATGGGAATTCCCTATTGCTCTCCGACGGGACGTTGGTAGCATCCAGTTGCAAAGAATCGCAAGGCGGCTGGATCCTTTAAATATTTTAATAGAGTGAAAATTGAAAAAATATTTAAAAGTTATATTATATCATTTTATGCCTTTTTGTGGGCTATCAAGAAACTCAGTTGCATACAAGTGGAAACGATTCAACTTCTCGAAGCCAACTTCTATCCATTGACGAACCGTGCAGTACTCCTCATCTTGTGATAAAACTTATGGCAAATGCACAAAAGCTATTTTCGTTTACAATTTTATTTTCATTTTTATAAAGCTTATGCAATTTCCCGATTTACTTTACTTTATTTCAACCTTAATGAAATAACAAAATTTTGTCGATATCGTTAACAATTTAAAAATATTCGTCGCTTGGGTAGCGATTTTTCGAGTAGTTTACGACAACAGCGAGAGCAAATATCGTTAAAATAAGTACACCGAATATTAAAATCGTTAGAATTATCGTTAAGTCAATTTAACGATCCGAAAATCGTTATAATACGATAAAGAACTCCCCTATAGAGCATAGAACGGCAAAGTTATTGGACGTGTAGAGCTGCTTGTCGAGAAAGGGGTTTTTTAGAGATACTTTTTTCAGATATTGAGTAGTAGGGGTTTACAAAGGGAGTTGTAGGCATCGCTCAATTTACTACTGGTCTTTATGCTTATGATGAATATCTGGTCAATTGTAGTTCTTTCTCCAAGGGACAATTGATCTCTTTGTAAGGATTGACGTATCATATATATATGAATTTCTAGCTTATAATTAATAAATTTTAAAAAAGAGCTGAATTTGGAATAGTCTGGTATTTTATAGTCATCAATAAGGCATCAGATATGTAACCTCTAAAAAGATTTTCAGAACTTCAGAACGACATTGCTCATATAGCTTTTTTTCAAAAGGAAATCAAGCAATTCGGTGTCGGCTGCCTGTGCAGACGTATATCTATTTATACAAAGAAGATATTAGTGATTTGAGCACTATAAAGTAATGATCTCTGGCAGTGACCAGGAAGTGTATACATCAAAATCACTTGAGAGCAGTTGCCTAGAGATTAAAAAAATTAATAACTCCAAATGCAAAAGTTTAAGCTTTTTAGATTTCAAATATGAATATTTCAAAGTAAAGTCATAGACTATTTACACAACATGCTCCAGAATCTGTATATTTAGATATTCATAAAAATTTTACTTTAGCTTGAAAAGATCAGCATTTCCCGAAATATTACCTGCCGATTGACTTAAATTTTTTCAAGATTCTTTCTATGGTCCTATGGAAACGTTTGTATGAAAATCGGAAATGAACCAGGGGCGAAACTATCCTATTTATGGCTCGATGTTCTTGTAATTTTTAAGCAGGACTACTTTTAACACCAGGAAGTGGAGCAGGAACTAACCTAATATGGTATATGACTTTTCCGTTCGGTTCGATTTGGTTCGATTTACTTGAATTTCTTTCTCTTTCATGAGAAGTGATTTGATCTATTTGAAAAATATATATTAAATTCAAGTTCGGCTTAATTGTATTTTTGGCTGATACGCCTAAGTGGAATAATTTTGAGATCCGTATGGTGCATTAGAGTTGCTTCGAAGCGTTTTTATTGATACTTTCGTGTATAACTTTGAGCAGCGAAGAAATCAACCACTCTCACAAAGAATTAGCAGGATCATTAATAAACTAGAAAATAAATAATCAATATTTTGATGATCCTTAATTGGTGTTTCATCGTTCTTAGTAAAACCAATTAGAGAAAAAAGTAACTAAAATACAGAGAACCATAAGGACGTGTTGCCGAATTCGCAAATATTACATTACTTATTCGAAAGAATTTATGTATGAATAAAAGATGAATAATAGGCAAACTTCCTCTCTTTTACTTCCAGTTCATCCATTAGTACAAGTTCCCAATCAATTGGTCGGCGCGCCCGTTCTAACAGATGTCACTTTGGTGTGCAACGTGGAGGCATCACCGAAGGCCATTAACTATTGGCAACGAGAAAATGGTAAGCCAGCAATAATAGAAAAACAACAACAACAAAAAAGTGCAAAACGATACAATCAAAACTCTGAGCAAAAAAAAAAAAAAACAAGCAAAAAAAAAACAAAGAAACTATAAAATCATCAAAAGAGAATCCAAATCCCCAAATAAAATTGAAAATTCTAAAAAAAAAGCAAGGCAACCGTAAAATGTCAGCATGCAATCTAACAACTTGACGCCAAAAACAATTTGAAGCTTATTGACTTCGTGCCATCGAATAAATGAAGTTGCAACGTGTACTTTTTTGGCACTTCTAACACTGCAACATTTGTTCGGGATGAATGAGTGACTACTTTCATGAGCATGCCACGCCACTGACCAGCACTGTTCTTATCTGTTTGGTGAATTTCATGTTATTTTCTACGTGACAGTTCATTGTTACAGCCAAAATGTAAGATACGGTGTGGGCAAACAAAGATTTGGACGAATAAAAGAAGTGCAACATTGTTGTGGCAAGCGTTCGCCATTTTCACTTCTGGTATAATGAATGTGTCTCAATATACGTTTATTCCAATTTATATTACTTTTACTTTAATCGATAGTTTTTGCCTGATCTTTCATTCTTCTAGCTTAACCAATTCCAATTTTTATTGCCTTTTTTCATTCATTTTAGGTGAAATGATTATCGCCGGTGATCGTTATGTGCTCACCGAAAAGGAGAACAATATGTATGCGATTGAGATGATTTTGCATATAAAACGTTTGCAAACTAGTGACTTTGGTGGCTACAAATGTATTTCGAAGAACAGTATTGGCGACACGGAGGGTACAATACGATTATATGGTAAGTTCAAAATAATGCCGATTTCTTTGATTAAAACATTATATTATTGTAGCATATATATGTATTTTTTAAAATAATAAATCTTCTTACCCCGTGAAAGGTATGATAAGTTCTGGGGCAACACATCACCTTATGGAATATTGCCTTCACCAATTTTTTTCATAGATTTTCATCTTAGTTCGTGGGAAAAGTATTTAATTTTGAATTTCCTCCAAGACTTTCCTCAAAACACTCGGATATTATTCATAATTTACTATCTGACCTTTTACTAAGAATTCATAGTGTGCAATATCGCGATAATCGCCTCACCTTGAATTCTGCTCGGAAATACTCAGCAAACGAAACGATATCATTTCGTTTCGCTAACAAGGAAAATTAACTTAACGAAATGAAGTTGTTACGTTACAGCGCTATGAAATGGATTAAAACGGCACAAACTCATCATTGGCTCTTTATTCTATTAAAGCATTCTTAATTTTTAACGTTTTGCATTAACTGTTAACGATCTAACATAAGCGGCAGCTTTTCGTTTCGGGTAAAAACGAAGAGTATTATATTTTACTAACTGCTTTAAAGTTAATATTTCCAAATGCTTCAACCGAAGCGAAAGAAATTTTTCTGCTCATTTGCAAGACGTCATTCCGAAATTTTTTTACACCTTTGTACAAGAGACACGTAAATTCTTGTCTCAACCCCAGTTACAATTAGTTCACTACTTATATTCAATTTTAGTCTTATTAAAAATACAAATTCTCTTTACAGAAATGGAAAGGCCCGGCAAGAAAAATCAAAGAGAAGATGACAACGAAGTCACGGTAAATATTATTTATTTTTTTTATTTAGGCAACAAAAAAGAAACAAATCAAAAGTGGCAGCTTATTAAAAAGAAAAGATATAAAAAAATGTCTGCAGCTACGAACTGAACTAATCATTTAACTATGAACAATATAATTCAGTATAATCGTTAATCTTTCAAACCTCCACAGGTCACTTCATATCATGTTAATATCAATAGTTCTCAGAATCATCGTTGTTTTGGTAAAAAAAAAAATTATTCAAAACCATCAGATCAATGCTTTTATCCAAATAATACTAAGAAGAAGAAGAACTATGAAGGCAAAAAGCCATATACGACTTTAAAGTAACTCCAACTATACATAAAAATATTTTTAACAGGTCCGTCACTGGTCAACTTTCCAAAAAAGTATTTTCATTTCAACCTTTCCAGGAACCATAAAAACTCTCTGACAAAGTTTCAATTCATACCGTCGGTGATTTTATGCGGGTTGTGCTGATATTTACAAACGAGCATACAATTTATTTAAATGTATCTGTGTTAGGTATAGTAAAAAGTAATCCATCATTTTTTCATGAAATTGAAGACTTTCATTACCATAGTTGGAATGATCCAATTTACGTCTAATATGCGTCGTTTTGTTGGATAACTTGTTGCCATTTCATTATGCCTCTCTCATAGAAATCCTCATTCCTATTGGCAAACAATAAAGACAATCGATTTTCACATGCCTCTCTTGAAACGAATTGGTAGCTACTTGGTGTCAAGCTCGGACTATAATGTGGATTCATAAAAGCCTTCCAACCAATCTAGCGGAGCTTTTGGCTAGTCACTGTCGATGTGTGTGGCCAGGCGTTGTCCTGATGGAACACAATTTCTATCCTATTGGCCAAAGCTGGCCGCTTCTGAACGTTTGCTTCCTTCAGAAGGTCCAATTGTTGACAGTACAGTTCCAAGTTAAGAGTCTTGCCGCAATAGCACAGCTCATAGTATATGGTTCCTTGCCAATCCCATCAAACACACAGAAAGCCTTCCCGGCTGTCAATTCTAGCTTGGCCATCGTTTCCGCCGGTTCACCGGTCTTCGACCACGACTGTTTTTGACTCGATGTTGTCGTAAGTGATCCACTTTTCTTCGCCAGTTACCAACCGCTTGAGAAATGGGTCGAGTTTTTTGCGATTCACAGATAGAAATTCGGTCTAAGAGGTTTTTTTCGATAACTACTGTGACACCCATACATAGAGCTTCTTTATATATGCAGCCTAATTCAAATGGTCCCAAACGGTGTTTTGTGCAATTTTTAGCTCTTGAGCAATCGAAACCATGCTTACATGTCGGTCGGGCTCGACAACATCCATGATTTTATCGACATTTTCGAAATTTTTCCATCTCACCTGCTACTAAACCACCCTCCTACTCTCTCCCCTTTCCTTTCTGCAGAAAAACGATATAGCACTCAAAGACAATCGCCACGAAGATGGTTCACGCAATCAAAATGGGCGACTCTACAAAGAGCGAGGCAGCGATGCGGAGCTGCAGAATGGCTGCGAAACGCTGAGTATACGTTGGAGTACAATGTATTTATTGGCGTTAACGCTGCTGGTGACGCTTGCAACGACTGCAACAAAGACAACAATAATAACAGCAACAACTCCAACAGCGCTGAAAAGTCGAAGTGCAGGTAATTTATAGTTTTCAAACACAAAAATACACAAAACAAATACATACGTACGCAACATACAAAAACCAATGCGAAGCAAGGAAATAATGTACACACATAATAACAATACATACATACAAATATAAAAACATAAAATAGTTGATTAAAATATACAAGAATTAATAAATTGAAATAATAAATTCAAAATAGAAATTAAAAATTGCTAATTAACAAAATATGTTTGAATAATGGCGGTATTAGACTAAAGGCGGAAAGAAAAACAAAATATAAAGGATATGAAAGGAAATAATAAACTGAGTTAAATGTTACCTCTCTAGCGAAATGTGTTTCTATGACAATGACTGTTGACTGTATTTTTTTAACAGCTAACATATACACATATATATGTATATATAAGTATATATATATATAAATATGTATATATGTATGTACGTATTTAAATTAATAGCTAAGCGTTGCTTGACGGCCTTTGAAGTTAAACAAACCCAGCAAACTTTAAAGTGAATTAAAATAGTTTAGCTGCGAAGAACAATAGATATTAAAAGTGAAAAGTGAAGAGAAGATAAAAACTAAACAAAATGCTTTGCATAAATATGTATATTTGGTTTAGTTTACATTTATGAATGTGTAGATAATTTGGCAGTGAAAGTGGCAGTATAAGAAATATGTATAAGTTAAACTTAGACACACATATGTACGTACATATATAAATATGAAATTATAAAATAATAGGCAAACAAATAACAGTATTACGAACGATTTGTTAATAAATACTTATTAAATGTATAGTATATGATTTAGGTATAAAGAGAAAAAATGCCTATGAAATAGTATACAAAAGCCTCTTCTGATAATGTAAATACACACACACAGAGAGATACATATGTACTTGTGATGACTTGGCAAAACACATTGTAAATAAGTTTGCACTGTTATATACTCGTACATAAATATTAAGCTCAAGCCAAGTACATCATATACAAACGTTAGTCATTATAAATTTTTATTTAACGGTTATGAACTTAGCAAAAATATTTTGGACATAATTTGTATGCCACGGAGTAGAAAGAGAAGGGTGTTTGATGAGTAGCTTTTAGTGTACATTAAGTATGTCTGGTTAAATAGGTCTTGAGTCTGTTACTGTTTGAAGACTTCAAATTTTTCATTTGATAGTCTGGAACTCGCCAGGCAGCTTGATGTCTTCGCTTGCTTTCTATGGACGATGACTGAAATCCAAAAACACAATTCACGGAAGAGAGTTAAATTTCTGAAAATGAAGTTTAGAGCCTAATATTAGATCATCCTGTGCAGCGTTTATCCGATATGATGCTGAGTGAAATCTGTGAACCTCTATCTTGTTGCGACGGTCAAGCGGTTGTCTGCAAAAGAATGATCCCATACTCTGGTAGGTTTGTAAGTCGTAAGCAAAATTTCTCTGTGGTGTTCCCAAATAAATTTGACTAGTAAGATGAGAATTTTGTTGCAGCTCTATGATTTGTTAAAAATTACGCTCGTTACTTGGATAAAAATGCAAAGGATGTGCAGTTTTGCTTGAGGTAGTTACTCATTTTGCAAGCTGTTACTTGATTAATACTCAGATATGTTAAGCATTTCATAATTAATAGTCTTGCTTTGGAATAATTTTTCCAAATCTTGCAAATTTATTATCAAAATAGTGGTTCATGCAGATAATGCAGAACTGAAGAGGAGCAGAGATTTGAAGAAGGTCCAAATGAGCTCATCCGCCATCGCGCAATTGCACTTTATGGAAGATTTTGCAGTGGGCTCTTACAAAATTCCACTGCAAGAACTTAAGCCAAACGACCATAAACAGCATCGCATATTCGGTGAATGACCCCTGAACGACATCACCATCGGTCGTTATTTTCAGTAGAAAATTTTGTTAAGCCTTGAAGCTCACTCTTGAATGCATTTGTTGGGATGCCGTTAAATCTTCTAAAAGTCATTTTCTGGTATGCTCTATACGCAGAGGAAATCATTAGCATACATTTCTTCAAAACTGAAGCTGACCATAATGTTACAGTCTACGGAGTATGCTACAGAGTCCTGGCAAAAACTTTTTCGTGCCTGAAAATGGAGAATATTGATGTGGACGAGCTTTGGTTTCAAACAAACGGTAATATGTGCCATAAAGCCAGCGGAAGAGTCAATTCCTGAGGCCTTGGGGAAAAAGTATTGTGCACGATGTTGCAGACTCACTATCCCAAATGCTGCAAAAAGTGATCGAAAATTAAGCCTCTAAGCCGGAATTTAATGGCACCATGGCAAACCCTTATCTTTATAATAACACTAAACTCTTGGGTATATCATTCAATTATATGTCTAAAAAAAACACCCTTCACAAGTTGTTACTATAGGTACCCTAAAGGAATTTTGCCATCAAGGGATTTAACATTTCACTCATGCGCATGGTAGTAGTAAATTTCGCGAATTGTAGATGTAAATGTATTGAGGGCAGTAAATATGTGGGAAAGATTATCATTTGCTTAGTTCCAAACTCCCCAACTTCAACTATTATTGAGCACTAAAGGTTTTATTTGTGAGAATTGACCGCTTGGCGTGCTAAGCTACTCGCTCTTCTATATTTAGCTTTTGGTCTTATGGAAATTTGGGACTAAATCTTTATAATTTCTAAGAATATTTTCTATTAATTTACAGGAAAAAAATTTCGTTTTTTTTTTTTTGAACTTTTTAGAGGCAAAATTTTATAATTTTCGTCAACAAATCTCATAATTTATATGTTCGAAAATAAACGCCTATCAAATACGAAGTGTGACTAAAGAAACTGAATTAAGTTTTATTTGAGCCCTGGTTTTAATTTCATAGTCATACACCCATGACTCGTCACCAATTGGATCGTCGTTGACGCTGTTCAAAATTATCTGAGCGATGTCCATACGACGTTGTTTTTTCTCAAAATTTAGTAATTTTGGAACAATCTTCGCTGCCGCACTTTTCATGCTCAAAACAGCAGTAAAAATTGCTTGACATGAACCGAACGATATGCCAATGTCATCAGCAAACTCTCTGATAGTGATTCGACGATTATCCAAAATCTTTTAATTCATTATTTCAATGTTTTCATTCGTTTTTGAGGTGGTCTGGCGACCAGGACGTATATTGTGTTGACATCTCATTAAATCGGCCCTCATTAAACCGGTTATATCAGATTTGAACTCGTGTCCTGCTCATTGTAGACATACCAAACGCCACAGTCAACATTTCAATGTCCCTGCACATTTTATTTCATTTTTTTACACAAAACTTAGTCCATTTTTGCGAATAGTATAGAATCGAAGAGCACATTACAATACGACTAACATTTTTATCTCTTAAAAACTAACTGACCGCCCAAATTAACTGACATTTCCAACATATATAACAGACTTACTATATGTACCAAAATAACCGAAAAAAAAGCGAAAATCGATCATAAAACTTTTCTTCCGCTGTTTTTTCCGAGGTTAAAAGCTTTATTGCGAAAAAGTGCTTACAGATATATTGTTCAAAGTATTGTCCTTCGCTAGTGACAACTTTCTCCCATCTTTCCGGCAATTTTCGGATCCCGGCTCGGAAAAGGGAGTCCTCTTTTGACGCTATCCATGAACCAATCCATTTTTCCAATTCTTCGAAGGATTGAAAATGTTGATCTGCTAGGCCGTGCGCCATCGCACGGAATAGATGGGAGTCAGAAGGGGCGACATCTGGGGAATACGGCGAGTTGATCAAGACTTTCCATTACAGCGTTTCCAGGTATTTTTTGACCACTTTTGCGACGTGAGGCCGAGCATTGTCTCGTACGGCACCCAGTGTCCTTCTTTCTGAATTATGCCCAGGGCCTTGAGACCTTTTGAAACGGCTTGCTAACTCACTCCCAACGATTCGGCAAGCTGTTCTTGGGTTTGGCACGAATCTTCATCAAGCAATGCTTTTAGTTGTTCATCTTTGAAGGTTTTTTCTCTTCCACCACCATGTTAGTCTTCGACATCGAAATCACCATTTTTAAAACGTTGAAATCACTCCCGACACGTTCTTTCACTCAGAGCAGCATCACCGTAAGTTTCTGAGAGCATTCGATGCGCTTCAGCTGCATTTTTTTTCGAATTGTAACAGAAAAGTAAAACTTCCCGCAAATGGCGAGAATTAGGCAAATTAACGGACATTTTCGAGCGTGAACAATACGAAAACAAGAACAACTTTCACTGAAACGGCGATGACAATTCGTTAGGCACTGTCCATACTCACTTTAAAGGCATTATCATCTATGTATTTCAACCAGCCTCAGCCGGTACAATCACCTATCGGAAAACCGCGGAAGCAAAGTTGTGCACCTGATAAATCACGAAATTTGAAAATAACGGATATTTTCTAATCCCATCTCGTATACCTGCTCCAATTCAATTTTCGTTTCTTTTGAAAAACTGCACATTTTAGTTATTTAGTTTATTTAATATTCCTTTAAAAAAGTCTATACGGGCATCCCTGTATAACAGCGAGCAATAAGCTGAATCGGTTTTAGGGGAAAAAACAACCGTCTGTAACGGCATCGGCAAGCAGTGACATCGTTTCGTTTACTTGGCGCTCTCATAAGATAGGTTGCTGTAGATGGATAGTTGCAGCATAAGCGACTTCCTCACTTCGAAAAAAATATGAATTTATTATCCATCATTCTCTCACGCCTTCCTCCGCTCTCACCCCCTTTCTCTTCTTATTTTTTGAGAAGCTCTTTTTAACTTTTTTAATATATTTTTCAATTTTCGTGAAAAATTTTCATTAAAAAATTGTTTATATTTAGGGGGATACTAAATCAAAAGAAACGCAAAAAATAAATACATCCTTCCTTATATTATAGTTAGTTACAGATTTGGTATAGATACATACATATGTAATTATATACCAAAAAAAAAAAAAAATTAAAATACAAATATATTAAATTATAGAACTAAATATTTAATTGTCAAAACATGTAGAATACAACATAAGTAAAAATGAGATACACAAAATTCTACAAAATGTGCCAAATTGAAATTAAATTAAATAAAAAATAAATAGATCTAATAATTATTATTAAATAAATATGTATGGATAACAATGTTATT